CAAACCTCATGGCGTCCTCCCGTTGCCAAGGGCTTTTAACTAATTTATTTTTCTTTTCTTTTCAGTAATTTTGAAATGCCATGGTTGACTAGAAAAAAGGCTTATCAAAGAAGAACTTGTGGATCTAAAATGGAAATTGAGGCGTTGGTCGAGTTTTTGCTAATATCGACGTTGGTGAGGCCTATAACGTTTTTTTTTAAGGAGACGTGAAAATGAGAGAACTTGCGGCCTTTTTCAGTCTATATAATAAGTGAACATATACAATGAGCGTATACGCCCATACATTATGTGTATATAAATATATTTGTCTATCTGTCTACCTATCTATTTACTCATCTACCTATCTATCTATCCATCTATCAATCCATTCATCTATCTGTCTATCTATTTATGAGTCTATCTATCGATCTATATTGTACATAGGTTTGTGTTTTCATTATGATGACAAATGGAAGAGATATCTGCAATATAACTAGGGAAGTGGTGAATTGTGGATAGATTGTCCCAAACGAGCTTGACCTTGGGAGGCCGGTTAAGGGGGTATAGCAGGGCAAGGGTGGGGTTGGGGGGGGGGGGAGCGCCAACACACCACTGTGGTTCTGGGGTCATTCACACGGCCAGTCCTGGATAGATTTACATAAGTTATTTATGCCTTTAATTCAATTTATTCCGTTTTCTTTCTATTTTCCCGGGCACTTCGATACATACAAGTCCCCCCTCCCTTCACCTTCCTTCGCCAAATCTGGTAGACTGCAAATTTCTGTAAAATCGACTTAAGGCGTTGTAAAATTTGGATGGAAGCATGAATTTACAGCTTTAAAATAATCCACCCATATAATTCGAAGAAAAACATCGCGTTTACTCTCTTATACACAAAGAGGTAAAGTCCTATACGCATTTATTCCAAGTAAACGACAAATTTATCCTCATCCTTGGCCTTTTCGCTTCCGTGTGTGGCATCGTTACGCAATTCAAATGGCGGGAAAAATGAAATTATGACATGAGAGATAAGAAAGCTCCTTAAAACGCTGTCTGAGAGTCAATTTCTCGAATTCGAATATTTGATTGCTACTGTTGAAATTATTCTCAACAACTCGAATATAAATGTACAGTTTTTTCCTTCGCGGAAAAAAAATCTGAAATACATCGTATCAAAGCACCATACTAAATTCACTATAAGAACGAAACACAAGGAAATTTAGGGCGTTGGTCTCCTAGACACTATAGAGTCCCTGAAATCCTTGTAACTAGGACACAGACGAGCTCAAGGCCGGCGTCCATAGCCCTTAACAGTTACTATGGCTGAGGAATTCTCGCTTCCTCGCCCTCACGCAAGGACTGAACATGTGGGATGAGCGACGTAATAGCCTTTTATGCTAGCTAAGCTAGTTATCTATATATGATATATATACTTGTAGATATATATATATGAGAGAGAGAGAGAGAGAGAGAGAGAGAGAGAGAGAGAGAGAGAGAGAGAGAGAGAGAGAGAGAGAGAGAGAGAGAGAGAGAAACATACAGAGAAAAAAACAGAGAGAGGGAGAGAATACACACATACACTCATACATATATAGATGTATAAACAGATATATAGATATATAAATCGATAGACAGATAAGAGAAAAAATATTTGTCAGTTGACAATCAGATAAAAGAAATAAAGCACATTTATTCATATAAACTGACACCAAAATGTAAGTATTATCACGGTGCCTTCGGGATCTTAAAACTCAAAGACGAGAGAAAGAGCAACGTTGCAAGAAAGTAGGTCATGTTTCTGGCTACTGTCAGTACTGCTCAAGATACACTCACAGACAGACAGACACGGGTTTCGCGATGTATGTCTGTGTATTCGCAAACAGACGAAATAGATATGGGAAAACAGCGTATATGTAGACACTTGAATCGTCCAATTTGCATAACTTGAATTTATTATAGTTTGCATTTCCATTTGTTATCTTTTTTGATAGATGTCCTTATCGCATAAAGAATAAATATATTATTTTTTATATCGGCTTTTTAAAATGTGTACGTTTTCCTATTATAGTTTGCATTTCCATTTGTTATCTTTTTTGATAGATGTCCTTATCGCATAAAGAATAGATATATCTTTTTTCATATTAGTTCTTTAAAATGTGTCCATTTTTTCTTTTTAGCGTATCTTGCCATCTATTCATAAATGCTCCTGTGTTCTATTTATTTTTTATTTTTTATCTCTTGCATTCTCGGTGACCGAGATTTAAGAATTAAGCTCATTAACCATGTACTGTATATTTTTGGTAGGGATCTGTCTCCATGTCGAACGTATCACCCTAACACATAAATATGAATTTGCTTTTAGTCATATTTATAACAATGTAGTGCGATTTGTTCTGAAACAGCTAGGTTTTTATGCATTTAACAACTCCATAGCCAAGTGAGAAATTGTTTGATGTAAATATACCCGGTTATATTTAAGTGCTGATATACTGTTATAGGTTAATGTTTACGAACAAAATATAAATATTGAAATGGAGTTTAATTCGGTTGCTAAAAGAATAATCAAACCTTGAACGTCACTCTTATCGAAAAGTTGATTGAAGGTAAATAATAAATAAATAAATAACTGAAGTAAAGAAATAAAGAGTGAAGGGAATTCGAAACCCTACACTTCAGGGATCTAAGGTCGCTTGTTTCAGGGTCAGCCATCTTGAAATGCGATATCACGTGACCTGTCCTTTATAACCGTTTCTGTGGTCTCGGTTTCCTTATTCTGTCGTTTGATTCCTGTTTTTCTTCGTTTCCTTTCGCTTCACTGTCTTCTTCCCCCTTTCTCTATTTCTCTTTTTTCTTTTTCACATGTCTTTTTCAGTCTCTTTTCTAATTCATGTTCTGCGCCATGACCGCACGTGATCCTCAATTCCATTTTCTTTCCAGGGTTGGCAACGGGAGGAACCCTTTCGTGACACGTGGAGCGCCGCGTTCAAGGGGTAACTTAAAAATAGTAACGAAAAGGTTTCCACCGGCACTTTCATGACACTCCTCCCCTTTCCCCAACACTTTAACGGAGGATTCGCAGTGGTATTGATAACGCTGTGAAATGGATTATAATACATTATTATTATCGTCCTTTAATTGTAATATAGTATTTAATTAATTATTGTTATCATCGTTCTTGTTACTATTGCAACTGTTCACGAAGGGTGCTATCACCATTGCCATTATTGCTGTCATGCCTTTTAAGATTTATATGATCCCAATCATCTCTTTTATCATTGCCGCTATTGATTCTCCTGTTATTTGTTATGATAATCGCTTATCGACACTAAATATCATATACATGATTATTGTTACTGTCATGATTATCATCACTGTGTTAAGTGTTTTATCTCTTTATATAATTGCTCTTGAATATATTATCCACGTTTGGGTACATAGCAATTAGCTCGTTTAGTCTAGTCTTGAGTCTTGTAATAACGCATTTTGTGCCATTCATAGTGTGTGCAGTTTCAATTCTTTATCAATGAATTATTAAAACAATGTGTTGATAATCATTCTAATGCTTTACTTTCATGGCATGAGGTAAGCATACAATTATATCAAGCAGGTCTTTTTCCATACTTATTTCATCAGATTTACAAAATATCAAGATGCAAATAGACTATCAAAATATCTAACAATAAAAAAGTAAACGATGAATGCGCCAAAGTTCGCATACATGTTGAGACACGACGACGGCATCGCGAATTGTTTCAACGAGGAAAGGAGTTCGGTAAATTGTTTTTCATGTTACTTCTTGCCTAATGTCTATCAATGCTATAATTCTAGAGTACATTTTGCCTTATTTTGAATGTTTGAATAATACTAAATTCAGTTTCACTTATAGGTAGAAAATAAACTGGCGCGAAAGCAAATGACGTCACAGAAGCAAACGCAGATGTAAACAAATAAACTATTTTGCACATACTGCGCTCTTCTCGTCTTGCTGAGGACGAGAAGATCGCAGACATTTCATTATACAAAATTAATTCCCTGATTAAATTAACAAAAAATGGAAAAAGAAAGAAAATAAATAATTATTAGAACAAGACCTGAGCCAAAAGGACAATGACCGATAGACCAAATGTAAACAAGCTAATAGTGTCTACCTACCATTTCCTCGTCCCATTTTAAATCCCAATACAGGGTTACTCTGTCTACTGCGTAATTTTGTACTGATTATTATGTTACTGTTATTAATTTGCCGGTCTGTGGTTCGAAACGCAAAACTCTATACGGAACATTATTTTGATGTTGAGATGTGCGTCCTCTTCAATTGCTTCTGTTATTATGACATGACACGAAAATAATGTGAAGGATTTGCGAATACGTTTTAGCACACACAAAATCACACCACACACACACACACACACACACACACACACACACACACACACACACACACACACACACACACACACACACACACACACACACACAAACACAAACAAACATATACGCTAATGATAATCATAGCCTGCAAAAATCAAATTTAACAAATTTATCGTTCAATCTGGCAGAAAATACAATGACACTGAACGTTTTCATGTACACACACACAATAATGCCGCCAACACGTGCCAAAAAGCAATCGAAAGGGCAATGACCGCAATTCGTCTATTATCTATCGCAAAATACCCGAAATTCCCAGCGACGAGCCACATGGAGCTTGAAATCTCTTTGCTGTAATAAGAGCCAAGATTAACCTGCTGAAGGATCGATCGACGGATGCTTCGGATACTACGCAGGAGAGCATCTAGAGCGAGCCAGTAAAAGGAGGTAAATACATAATAACGATGAATGTATGAAAAAAATAAATCACAAAACAGGAAAATGGGTTATGTAAAATGTGGGATATGGTTGTGCAAGGAATGGAGGTACTACGTAAAGAAATGTTGATTTCTAATGTTTAGAAATTGGTATAACACGTCAAACTTATCTCAGCCTTTGGGAAATGGCTTTCTGACTGTCCGCTAACTTACGTCTCTTCCTGAAATAAAGCGCTTGGAGTTACGTCTTTCCTCTGTCACGTTTCCAACCACACTGGCGGGCTCCGGCCTTGCCTGGCCTCAAGCCACGGGGCATCTTGGCCCTCCCCCTGACCCCTCCCCCCCTCACCACACACCGATGCCCCGAGAGGCGACAGTGCCAGTACTCTTGTCTTGGCCTCGGGGGGCGCCCTGTGTTATGGTTGGTGTGCTTGTTTTGTGTTTGTTTGTAAGGGTGAATGCTTTTTTTTCTGTACCTGTTGCGTACACGTGCTTTTGCTGTGTGTGTGTGTGTGTGTGTGTGTGTGTGTGTGTGTGTGTGTGTGTGTGTGTGTGTGTGTGTGTGTGTGTGTGTGTGTGTGTGTGTGTGTGTGTGTGTGTGTGTGTGTGTGTGTGTGTGTGTGTGTGTGTGTGTGTGCGTGCGTGCGTGCGTGTGTGTGTGTGTGTGTGTGTGTGTGTATGTGTGTGTGTGTGCAGCATACATGTATATTCGTATGTGCGTCAATGTGCATGTGCTTGCATGTGTATATATGTTCGAGTGTGCGTGCATAGGTATACCAATGCTGAATAATTCTTCCATTTAAATCATGAGCAAATAACATAAAACACTATTTCTGTAAACTCTAGTCTCTTGCAGTTTTGTTTGCGAAATAACACTCGTAACATGTGACAATAAACACTTTCTAGTCAATGATTTCACCAAATAGTAATAATACTTGTTTACATTCTTTATGAACGGACCTAACCTAATCTAACACAGATTTAAGCTTATCTGTTTCAATGCATACAGGGCCTAGTCGGGATTTGAAGTTTCTGAGAGAAAATACCTCAAAGAGAAAATAAAACAAAAGTCATTGTGACAAATGGAGAGACAGATATGAATGAAAATGCATATACAAGTTAAAAATCATCCACTTTTATCTCGTGCACTCTGAAAGTTATTGATTTTCATCCACACCTATTTCTGCAAAACAAAGACAACACACGACGCGTAAAACAAAGGTGTTTTAATGTCACCAACAAACTTTAACATAACAATAAACTATAATATTTCTAGAAGTAACAGGCACAAGGGAGATGGGGAAAGTAGAGAAAAATATAAGGTAAAGAGGAGGGAGGAAAAGGTGAAGGAAGAATTAGATAGAGACTTAAGGGCGGGATTTGGAGAAGAGAAGTCAAGAAAACGATTAGAAGTTTATAAAAAATAAAATTAGTTACCTCGGTTTGTTAGACGTTTCTACAAGGATGGGACGAGCGGCCGACTACGGCGTAAGATTTTGTTAATGCCTAACCTATTTAACACCTTATTTCTTTAGATTTTCGATATACATACATATATACAAGAATATATATGAATAGACGCATGCATATGTATGTATATATATATATATATATATATATATATACATATATATGTATATACATATATACACAACACACACACACACACACACACACACACACACACACACACACACACACACACTATAATATATAATATATATATATTACAACTATAAATATGTATATGAATATAGGCCTATACATCGTGCCCTCGCAGACACACGCACACATCCACACACGCGCGCGTGTATATATATAATATTATATATATATATATATATATATATATATATATATATATATATATATACATATATATATATATATATATATATATATATATATAAGTATATTTACATAATATTATATATATTATATATATATATATATATATTATATATATATATATGTGTGTGTGTGTGTGTGTGTGTGTGTGTGTGTGTGTGTGTGTGTGTGTGTATAAATTATACATATTATTATATTATATATATATATGTATTATATATGTATGCCTATATAAGTATATTTACGTATATATGTATATATCTATATATAAATGAATATATATAAATATATATGTATATATTATGTATTATATATTTATGCGTGTATATACAATTATATATGAATTTATGTATGTGTGTGTGTGTGCGCGCGAGTGTGTGTGTGTGTTTGTTAAGTAAGACAAATTATTTCTGTTGTGACGATCCCTTCTGGAACGGAGATCTGTTTTCGAAAGGCGGGAAATCTGTCTCGCCCTTTTATGATGTAAAAAATTCAGAAGGATGACAAAACTCGGATATAAAGTGATGATAATAGTTATAAGGTTACCAATAATTATTGTAATATCTAAATCCCATTTCATTATCAAGAGTGACAAGGGTTTTATAGAGTACACGGTGCATGCTTAGATTTTTCCGCGCTTCGATTCTCGCTTTATTTAAAATCTTTCTTTTAACCTGTATATATCATACATATAAATGATTTACTTGCTTTCAAGTAAGATTGAATATTGCCCTTTCGTATAAAAGAGCTATTGGGCATTTATGATGTGACAGTGAGCGACCATTCTATTATTAACCTAAGGTGGTGCGGCGGGCCATAGAGTACCTCGTGGTAGTCAGGGGTTCAAGGGCGAGATTTGGGGGAGAGAGAAGTAAGGAAAACTATTGGGAGTTTATAGAAAATACAACTAAGTACCCATTATATTTTCGTCTTCTACACTCACACACACACTCACACACCACACACACACACACACACACACACACACACACACACAACACACACACACACACACACATATATATATATATATATATATATATATATATATATATACATACACGTGTGTGTGTGCGTATGTGTGTGTGTATGTATTTCCTCGATGGAACATTTTTACCCTTTAATGATCGCCAAGAAACACTAGTCTTCACTCACCTGTCCTTAATAACCAATAGCCTATACTAACATTAATTCCGATTTAATTTGAAATAACTCCCCTATTCTACCCTTTCATATCTACAATGGATACCAAGGAAACATTGCAAATGGGCATGAACGGGGAAAATGCCATAAATATTGCAACTACACAGGTTCTTCGCTGTATCCTCTAAGACCTCCAGCCAATTACCTGAGTTTTGGCAGAAAAGGCTACAACACATGCCAAAGAATGGTTATCGTTTCAACCTACAACCTTGCTCGGTTACTTCCACGATATTGAAAACGTTTTGGATCGTCATTTCCTAAATTATTTCGAACGTTTTGGCTTCCTATGAAGAGCATGAAATTGGCTTCAGAAATCGAGCTCAAAGAAATCTTACTTATTGTATATTTAGTTGTCGTGTTACTTTCTTACTAATTGAGACGTCCTCTTACAGCTTTTGAGAAGAGTATCGAACTCATTTCAATCACATATATTGTTTCTAATAGATTTGGTTCTTGTGGTATGTCTACAGATTTTGTCCTTCTTTCCCATCGATTTTGTTTTTTGCTCATTAGGGTTATATCCATAAAGCATCATGAAGGACAAGGGCGTTTATTACTTTGCTTGTTTATTGGAGGCAGTCAAGTGCTATTCTTGCACTTGTTTTCAACACGGTGTTCTGCAGAATTCTTCTTTCTTGTACAGATCCGCATTTCAGTTCCTAATTCGAGACTGAAACGCTATGGGGACTTAATCTTCATTGGTCAATTACAGAATAATGTCCCGGTTTGGGGCATAGCTTGACACTTGGGGACCGGAAGGCGAAGGGCCCCTATTTCTTTAGGCTTGATGAAAAAACGTACGTAACATTAAAAACTATTTATCTACATATTTAATCCGGAAGAAATATGTATTTTTACTAGAAAAAACATATTTAAAACAAACGGACAGCATCTCGGGGTACCCTTCCATTGGAGGCCCAAGATAGCAGTGAAATATCGCCTCCTCTCAGGTACGCTAATGTTTCCATTCAAAGTCTATATCATCAGACTTATTCGTAACAATAAATCAACTCTCCCCCCCAATACAACCAGTGATTTTTTAAACTGTTGCCATGGCGTATTTGCGTGTGAAAGCCGGTGAATGTGACGTCACCTTCGTAGGCTCGACAACTAGGATTAGATTAAACCTTTGGCCGAATCCCTCGTGCCAACTTGATGCTTGTGTGGTGTCAAAAGTTTGGTGTTGACGGTGATTTGTATTCTATGAGAGCTACCGATTGCTGTATAGTTAAAACAAGTATGGCATAATGTACAAACTGGGCAGATTAACGCTTATAATTACCCTATTTATGAATATTTGTCTTGCACTTTGTAAATAACGCAAGAGCACCTTTGACAATAATAAGTTAAGCACACAAAGGTTGGGGAGATGAGTGGATGTTCAGAATTTTGTAGTTTGTTACAGAATTAAACAAAGATTTGTGGAAGTACAGTATATGCTAACGGTATATGGGGAACTTTGCCGCGTTCCAAGTTTATTCTATGAAATTTTGATGTTTGATAACCCAAGGAAAAGACAGAAATGTATAAGCAAAACGGGAAATGCCTGCTTAGTTTTTTGTTCATTATCAACCTTTTTACATTTCTCTCTAGTCGTTGGTCATTACCTCCAATCTCCCTGCTCACATTTTAAATTGAGTAATTAATAAAATAGGATTGCGCTAAATTGATGTCCAACTTTATAGCAAATATATAAAGGCCGTCGTTTCCATGTTCATCAATATTATGAAAACGATAATTAAAAAGACAATTAGAGAAATCCTACTTTATCCATCCGGTTCACACCCTTTTCGAAATTACTCACACTCCACAAGGGCCACACACAACTCGACAAGAATCTGTGATCTATTTGAAGAGTAAACATCAAGCACTTTTAATAGATGTTCCATTTGGTTTTCATTTAATCTATCAGTCAGAAGTTGATTTTACTACATCAAAGTATGAAAGCTGTATGGATTGGTTTGTTTGTGCTTATTCCCAATGTTGCATTTCATCTTGCCAATAGGATACAGAGCACTAAACGTTGATTATTTGTTTTAACTCTGCGGGATCCACACACAACTTCGGAAAGCCAGGGTGGTAAATAAAGGACTAAACTAAACTAAACTAAGCGGTGAGAATTTTCATAGCTACTATTTTTGTTTAATTATTTATATTTCAGTTCAGTATAGATTACAAATTGTTGGGCAACCAATAAACTGACAGTGTTTTAAGTAAAGGATATGCGTAGTGGGCCATGAGTTCGAGAT